GGTGGACGCAGCCCTGCCCGGCCCAGCAGGGAGGACAGGGCAGGACCGCGCCGGCCAACACCCCTCAGCCGCTCCCTAACCCGAGCGGCCCCTGGCAGCGGTAAACAGGACACCAGCCGGTCGAAGGAGGATGTTTCTGCCCCTCTGCTCCCTTCTCGTGGAACCCCACCTGGAGTAGTGTGTCCAGTTCTGGAGCCCCAAACAGAGGAAGGACACGGAGCTCCTGGGGAAACTCCAGAGGAGGGCCATGGAGATGATCAGAGGGCTGGAGCACCTCTCCTCTGGAGACAGGCTGAGGGAGTTGGGGCTGTGCAGCCTGGAGAAGGGAAGGCTCCGGGGAGACCTTATAGCGGCCTTCCAGTGCCTGAAGGGTCCTACAGGAAAGCCGGGGAGGGACTCTTACAAAGGCATGTCACGATAGGACAAAGGGGGATGGTTTTAAGATTCCTGGAAGTGTTCAGAATCAGGTTAGATGGGGCTTTGAGCGACCTGGTGTAGTGGGAGGTGTCCCTGCCCGTGGCAGGGGGGTTGGGACTAGGTGATCTTTAAGGTCCCTTCCAACCCAGACCTTTCTATGATTGTATAGGAAAGCTGTCATGGAAAAGCTTTGGGGGGAGGTGAGGAAAGGGTGTGTGCCTGGGAATATCCTGCAAGGCAGTGTCCTCCACAGGGGTGTTCCACATGGAATGCAGGATCCACATGTTAGTGTCCCCTCAGTGATGTCCCACGCAGTCATGTGTTTTACAGGGCTGTACTGCACAGTGGTGACCTACACAGAGAAGTCCCTCACATCAGTGACTGACACAGCACCCAGTCCACACAGTGATGGCCCACACAGTCATGTCCTGTACAGTGATATCCTGCCCAGCCATGACCCACACAGTGATGTCCTGCACAAGGAGGTCCTGCTCTGCTATGCCACACATATCCATGTTCCATGCAGTGACGTCTTGCACAGCAGTGACCCACACAGCCATGTCCCACAGAGCTAATAACTTACACAGTAGTGTCCCTGTGACCTGTGATGACCCCAACAGCAGTGTCTGTCTTGGTTATGACCCTCACAGTAAAGTCTCACATAGTCATGATCCTCACAGCAATGTTCCCCACAGTGATGTCCCTCCCACACAACAATGTCCTGCTCAGCAGTGTCTCAGACAGTGGTGAGCCACAGAACAGTGCCACACAGCCACAGCAGTGATCCTCACAGGACTGATTTGCATGGCAATGTCCCACGCAGCACTGCCCTGCACAGCTGTACTCTGACCAGCAGTGACTCACATAGCAGTGACCCACACAGCTGTCCCAGAGCATCCCCATCCACCTCCACACAGCCCAGCAGGTGGGGAGAGCCTCGGGCCACCGGACATGGTTTATTGGTACAGGCTCTTTCTCATTTCAGGGCACATCCTACACAGCCAGGAGCATTTGCTTGTGTCATGCTTTTCATTTTCATTCTTTCTTTTTTTTATTTGTTTTTTTTGGTCTTTGTTTCCAGAACAAACAAAAGAACCTGCACTTGCAGGTGCACAAGGAGAGAAGGATGGATCCTCAAGTAAGATTTAGAGCGCGTTTTTCCAGTTATCTCCAGTCCTAAGACGTTTTCAGGATTAATGAGACCAAATCATTTAAGCCAAAAATCAAATCCCAAAAGTAAGTAGTGAGGTGACTGCAAAAATATGTTACCTTTGCAGACTTCAATTTGCAGATAGGTCGCTAGTAAGGCAGGATGGTTTCCCAAAGCTGCCTAGAGACAGGAGGTAACAGTCTATTGTATTATCTGCTACATGTGGGTACTCAGACCTCCTGAGCCAGCTCAGGCTAGCCAGAGTTTTATTTCTTCTAAATGTTGTTAAATGTTAAAATGTTGTTTCAATCCCAGATGACTGGGTCTGTGCTGTTATCCAGTGTGCCACTAATGATTTTACTGGCACTTTGCCAGCCTAAAACTTGAACCCATGAATAGCAAACATCAGGGGAGTTCCTGTGTTGGGAGAGAGGTGAACAGGACTTCCAGCCTGTCTTGGTGAAAGGCCGTGTGAGAGCAGGCATGCCTCTTTATGTTTTCCTTTCCTTTATTGGATTCCTGTGGTTCACCTGAAAGGCAAAATATTAGCAAATCAATGCAGAAACTACCTTTGTAAGTAGCTAAATCATGTGCGGATGACTTATAATAAAGGGATAAGTCTGTAAAACTTGGATGAGTTTGGAACAGATTAAAGAGTGCCTTTCTCTTAGTGATTATGTTTACAGAACAAGAAACTATGTCTGCAATGGTCTAGTAAAAGAAAAACAGAATACAAATGAAACATGTTAACATTTCGATGAGGTGCATTAAATCAGATTCTTCACCAGAAAAAAAATAATCTTAGTTAAAGGAGAGAACAAGCTCACCTAGTATTGTTCCAGAAAATACTTTGTTTTTTCCCTTTTAGATTAGTTCATCACTATTAGGAGTAGCACTAGGTAACTTGTGAGGAAGAAGGACAAGAAAACATAATGTGTTTTCGGGCAATGAGACAGCACTGAAACCCTCACAGGCAATTCCAGCAAAACAGGCAGAGATTTCCTTCTAGTTTGACATGAGATGGTTCACAGGAAGTAGGTGTTTCTCAGGCCCTGCTACTGGTTGTCTTTTGTCCTGCAGATAACTTCATGAGGAAAAGAGGCTTTGGGCAAAGTTGCTATAAAAGGCATGTCTAAGTAAGCTTAGGGAATGGGCAGAGACCTTGCTCCATCTTCCTCATAAACCATGGAGAAGCACTGCATGGAACAGAGGTCATTATTCATCTTTTTCACATGTCCTCAGTGCCAAAATACCTTACTCCCAGAGGTGAGAAGGAATCTCAGGATTGTGTTGTAATAATCCTCTAAAAAGCAGGTGTTGTTCCTGGCTCTGAGATTTTGAAAACCAGTCTAGCTCAAGCTGCCACCCATTTTTATACTTTTGTGCCATTCCTGCCCTATTTTAGCTTTAGGTACTCAAAACTCCAATTCCCAAACTAGAACATAACTGCTTTATAATATGGTAGGAGGGGATAAGAAACCAAGACTGGGAAACATGTTTTTCAGCTAATGTCTCCAACATGTAAATAGTTCCAATGAGTCTTGTTCCATTGTTTTACTATTTCCAACCAAAGTGTCTCTGTTGCCTTACATGGAGTTTTCCTTGGTTTTTAATACAACAAAGACAAATCTGAGCCAAATGAGCCTCAACAGTAAATTAGAAAGAGAACTAGTCTGTATTCTTTATCATGGTTGCCAACTCTATTATTTACCATGGTTATTTATGTTCTCTATAAAGCATGTAAAGCCGAGCAAAAATCTCTCTCTGTGTCCGTTCCTGTGGTGCTCATCTACCCACAATATCAGGCAGAAGACTGAAAACATCTGTGACTGGGAAAAGCTTCTGTCTGGAAAGAAAATGCATATTTTATAGTAAAATACCTCCCTTTGATTTTTCTAGTTTATCTTGCAGCCACGGTGACTTTGTGGTCCTGATACAAGGACTCCACTTCAAAGTCTTTTTTCAAATACATTATCCATCAGCCCACAGCATTCCACATGCCCACATCTCCTCATGAGCAAACTCTCTGGAAGGCCCTAACCTGCACAAATAGAGCTCATTTTTGTTTGCTGCTAGGAGGTTAATCCAATGGCAACAAAATGAGAAGACTTCAAAGATCCTGCAGGGCATTTCTTTTTCTTTTAGACCTATGTTTGCACACAGCTATATTTATTTTACATAAATACCCCTCTGAAAGCAACCTGCTTACTTTTTATATTGAGACAACATGGTGACTGATGTGACTACAAAGGCTACAGGCTGTCTCCATCCTGCTACACAGGATCACACTTCCTGGGAGCACCACAGTCAACTTGACTTTGCCCTAGGAGTCCCTTGTTTCCTTTGTTCTGAAAAAGTAGACTTTCTCCTGATAAGAAATGATCCCTACTAAGGTGAATAACCAAATCAGGGAATTTGGAAGTGTAGCTGACAGCCTAAAGCAATATCAACATTTTGCATGTAAGAAAAATGGGGAGTAATTTGTCTTCACTAATGATCAGCCTGTGTAAGAACACAGTAGATGATACATAAAATAAGGTTTCTGTAGGTTCACAGCCTGTGCTGTTATTCAGAAAGCATAAAGAATAGCTCGAGCTGTTCTACATTGAATTG